ATTTGTCCCAGATACAACACCCGGATTGGCACCAGATACAACTCTCGGATTGGCACCAGATACAACTCTCGGATTGGCACCAGATACAACTCTCGGATTGGCACCAGATACAACTCTCGGATTGGCACCAGATACAACTCCCGGATTGGCACCAGATACAACTCCCGGATTGGCACCAGATACAACTCCCGGATTGGCACCAGATACAACGTCACAGTTGATAGAAGAGAAAGGATTAGAAATGATTTCTTACACAACAACAAAGACGGAGTCGGACACAACACCACTTTTACCGACCGAGTCTTTACCACCCGTGCCAGATTCATCACCAGCTGTGCCAACCACGCCATCCGAGCAGATACTGGACCTCACGCCATCCAGTCCAGAGGGTTCCTCCCCACAGACACCTCAGGATTCCAGTCCTCAGATGGCGCTGGGCACAAATGATGATAGGAGTTCTGTGTCGCCGGCCTCGGATATCCAACATACCAGCTTGGACAATTCCCAACCAACCGAGAAACAGAAGGACAACGGGACGCCAGAGATACCAAGCTACACAGAAGCTCTGCCCACCTCTACAAAGAGCTCCGCGGATTATCCAATTTCTCCAAAGACAGGTAGGATTCTGGAAAGCATTAGCACCGTCCCTCCTACACATGGGCGCCTTGTCCCTCCTACACATGAGCGCCTTGTCCCTCCTACACATGAGCGCACTGTCCCTCCTACACATGAGCGCACTGTCCCTCCTACACATGAGCGCACTGTCCCTCCTACACATGAGCGCCTTGTCCCTCCTACACATGAGCGCCTTGTCCCTCCTACACATGAGCGCACTGTCCCACCTACACATGAGCGCCTTGTCCCTCCTACACATGAGCGCACTGTCCCACCTACACATGAGCACACTGTCCCTCCTACAGATGAGCGCCTTGTCCCTCCTACACATGAGCGCCAGTCCATCGCAGTGCGGTCACCTCTACCTCCACACACCACACGTGACCAAACATTTTCCAATGACGGACCCAACACAGGTGAGGAACAGACACCGGCCACCAATAGCAGAACTTCACCAAAAGAAGATTTGGATGGAGATGTCTCTGTGTTGGTGGACAAGAATCACCCAAAGGACAGTCCAGTCCAAGCAACACCAAAATCACCGCTGCCACCTTCTAAAGACAAAAAGAATCCGGATTCCAATCCGAGAAACCCCCAAAAACCAATCACAGAGAAAGAACAAAGGTCAAAGTTCACTTTTCTACCTAAAAAGGATCAACTCAAAGCCAAACTCTTCTCCAAAGGTGTCCAATGGGGCCGCAAATCCGCATACTCAGGTGAGAGAGCAACGAGGGAAGACGCTCATAAGATTCCTCTACAGGTATACATGAGGTCCATTCATCTCCCACTGACTGTGATCACCTTCTCATAGCTCTGGTACAACCGTACTCATCCATCACCAGATCCATCCATCCATCACCAGATCCATCCATCACCAGATCCATCCATCACCAGATCCATCCATCCATCACCAGATACATCCATCATCACCAGATACATCCATCACCAGATACATCCATCCATCTGTCCATCACCAGATACATCCATCATCACCAGATCTATCCATCCATTACCAGATCCATCTATCCATCACCAGATCCATCCATCACCAGATCCATCCATCCATCACCAGATCCATCCATCACCAGATCCATCCATCACCAGATACATCCATCACCAGATCCATCCATCACCAGATACATCCATCACCAGATACATCCATCCGTCCATCACCAGATCCATCCATCACCAGATCCATCCATCACCAGATCCATCCATCACCAGAT